GGCCCTCAGGGTCCCTGCCTTGCAGACAGGCACAGCCCATCAGGCAGAGCCCTAGCAGAGAGGCCTTGACACCAAGAAACCTTGATCTTGGAGTTCCCAGTTTCCAGGGTTGAGGAAAGAAATCCCTGTTCTTTATTAGTGATCCTGTCTGGCTTTCGTTTGCGCAAACTTGGATGGACTGAAAGAGGAAATAACCCATTGCACTCAGTTTCCTCCCTGCAGGGGAGCCTGCGGGGGCACCTTGGGGCAGAGACCAGTGGGGAAGGATGGAGCATCTGAAGGGCAATTGGGTCTGTCTAGCCTGCAAACTCTTCCGAACTCGTCACCTGTGGGCATTGAGCAGGAAAAGGAGATCCTGAGGGAGCTCAGGCTCCGGGCAGCCTTTGTGTGCACAGATGGGACACCGCTTGGGGGACCCACAGAAACAAGGAGGCCGAGGTTCTTGGGAGGAGGGTTCTGCAAAACACGTAGAAGCTTCAAGAGCCTCTGAAATGGAGGTTTTGGGGATTTGAAGACTCCATTGTGAGCTGTGGCTTCCGTGGACCCTGGGGATGGTGTGTGTCTTGGGAATACACCCGACTTCCCAGTCCAGCAGCGCTCCTCCCCGAGGCCGGGTGAATGTCTGCACTTCCTGTCACTGAACTGTTCTCAGGCCCTCGTGGTTGCTGCTGAGGGGTCCGCGCCTAGAGGAAGGAAGCCATCAACTCAGTGTGGTTTTGAAGAAACAACACAGGCTGTAGCTGAGCACAGTGAAATTTACCAAGTTCTCCTCTGAAGGGTGATGAGTGAGAAGTAACACCTGCCGCCCTCAGGTTCCTGTTTATAATAGGTTCTAAGGACACATTTCTGTTTAAGATTCGATTTGGTGATGTGCATGTCAATCCTGACAGGACAATCCACCCACATGGCTCACCTGTTCTATTTCCTATCCTGCACTCTGAGAGCCACTTTCTCTGAGAAAATGCAAGCACATGTCAGCAGGTGGTATGACTCCCGATCATTCAGTGCACTGCACTTGGTATCCTGCCTGCCCTAACCCCACACATTTTGTATCAACATATACATCCTTCCCCTTTTCACCGCTGCATTTTATTGTACCAGAATGATGTGTTGTCTTTTATTTAACCCATCCCCCTTTGGGAAGATCATTTGGCTGGTTTGCAATCACATTCTCTTATAAACAACATTGCAAAGAGTAATGTGGTCCATCCCTTGTGTGAGCAAGGATGTTTGTAGGACAAATTCCTGGTAATGACTCAGAGAGTATATACAGTTGTGGTGCTGATGTGTTGATATATTGAGTCCAGGCTAGATCTCTGCGTCTAACCATGAACAACAGCATATTATCTCCAGGTGAAAAGTTCCAAAGGGGAAAATAGACGCAGAAGCATCCAGACAGACACTTCCATCAATGGAGAGTGCTGGTCCGTGTCTCTGAGTGTCATGTGAGCTGGGTGCAGGCTCCACAGTGCTGTGACAATCCAGTTTGAGAAATTCTAGTCATCTGGTTATTACTGCAGATAAATACCCCTGAAGGAATTATTTCTTCATTTTTTCCCAAAGACTCCAGGTTTTCATTCCAGCAGCCGAAAGGCTTCTGAATTCCTTAGCCGGGCTAAGTTCCCTGCTAATTGATAGATGCTCTAGGACTCCAAAGGCAGTGTCTAGAAATGCCCTCATTCATTGCAAAGGAAGTATAAATTACAAAATTACATGGTGAGTGCACAAAAATTGTCTCAAAATGGATAAAAGAACTGGATAAGTAACATATTTAAAGACTCATCACCCAAAGCAGAAAAAATCAAGGAAAAGATAAACGCCTGGGATTATATCAAACTGAAAAGCTCTGTACAGCAAAAGAGACATTAACCAAAACAAAGAGACACCCCACTGATTAGGAAAAAATGTTTGCACTCCATGCAACTGATAAGGGACTGATCACAAAGATCTACAAAGGATTCACAGGACTCAACGAAAAGGAAGTAAACAATCCAGTCAAAATGGGCAGAAGAACTTAAAAAGACATTTCTCCAAGAGGAAATTTAAATGGCCAACAGGCATATGAAAAAATGTTCAACATCCCTTATCATCAGGGAAATGCAAATGAAAACCTCATTGAGATACCACCTTACAGTGGCAGGAATGGCACATATCAGAAAAAAGAAGCAACAACAAATGCTGGGGAGGATGTGGTGAGAAAGGAACTCCCCTGCATTGCTGGTGGGATGCAAACTGGCCCAGCCACTAGGGAGAGCTGTGTGGAGGTGCCTCAGCCTACTAAACATGGAGCTACCCCATGACTGGCAATTCCACCCCTAGGCATCTACCCAAAGGACACAAGCACATTGATTCAAAAGAGCACCTGCACCCCTGTGTTTATTGCAGCACTATTTACAATAGGTAAAACCTGGAAACAATACAAATGCCCAAAAAGAGATGACTGGATCAAGAAGATGTGGCATAGATACACAGTGGAATATTAGTCTGCCATCAAAAAAGATAAACTCATGCCATTCGCAGGAACGTGGATGGAGCTAGAAGGATTTTTGAAATAAGCCAGAAGGAAAAAGAAAATTATCAGATGGTTCCACCTATAGAAGGAATATAGGGGAACCAAGCAATATAGGGGAACCTCAGCACAGGGGACTGTGGTGATGGTGCACGGGTGCCTTGGGGAAGGAAACTCTATTGGGACTACACCTGAGGGGTTGGGGAAAGCAAATATTGTTTAAAAATGAACAATGATATAAAAAATATAAAATTTTAAAAACTGAAGAAAAACAAAAATCCCAAACAAAAGTTACACTAATATTCCATTGTGTAACTTGATCTTTAGTTTGAGAATGGGTTTTGAAATAAAATATTCTATTTACAAGAACCACCAAAAAGGGCCTCCCTGGTGGTGCAAGGGGTTAAGACGCAACCTATGAAGCTATCAGTAGCCACTGCAGCACCAGTGGATCCCCAGCCAGGGAGCTACCCACATGGCGCAGCAGACCTCTCCTGACTCTCCCGCTGCTCCCTGGGACTCCGAGGCCCAGATTCCTCCTCTTCCCCGGACCCCATGCTCCTGCGCCCTCGCTGGCGTGTCTTCTCCTGGTGCCCTCTGAGGGCTGCTAGGATTCTCTCTTCTCCCCAGAGCCCCTGTTGGCCCGGCTCTCCCCGGACCTTGTCCTCAGCTCGCCTCTCCACCAGCTCCTGCTAAGGGCCTCAGGGACTCTCCAGGGGCCTCTCTCCCCGGGGTCCTGGCTGGGAAGGGGACTCCTCCTCTGCTCATTGGCCCTGGAATAAAGGCCCAGCCCGGGCTGAGTCTGAAGGCTCTTTTGTTTCTGCACAAGCTCTTCCCGCTCTAGTTCTCCTCCTGGCTGCGCACCCTACCCCCTGCCAAACCTGCCGTTCTTGTGAGAGGGCCAGCACCGCGATGTCCTGAATTCCAGATGTTTATACCCTTGGGTGTCTCAAGTCTCCTCCTCGCGTCTCATCCGATCTCACGCGGAACACAGCCCAGATGACATGCTCTCCCCACGCCTTTCCCCCCACCGTCTCTCTCCGCCCCGTCAGCCCAGGGCTGTGATGACAGCGTTGTCCTTCCTTTGCTCAGTTACTCAGGCCACAAATTCTAGAGGACACGAAATACAGGGAACTCCAGAATGGAAAGGACTGGGTACCCTCCAGAAGAGTTTTAAAATCACCTTGCACATGCCCCACCCCCCAAAAAATTAAACAAATTCTAGATTCATTTTTGTCTCTTCTCTTTCTCACCATCCCTGTCTCCAACTCACCCACAAATCCCATGGCTTCTCCTTTCAACCTGTCCGGAACCTCATTCCCTTTCTCGGGGCCTCCTTTGTGACTCTGTTCCTGGTCAGCGTCTTCATCCCTGTCTCCAGCTTCCCTTCATCTCCTGCAACTTATTCCACCGCAGGGGCCAGAGTCATCCTTGAAGATGTGATGCCAGATGAGTCCCGCGGGGACCTTGAAAGGGTGAATAGTAACAGCCACAGCCCCAAGCCCTCCCTCCCCCTGCAGGTCCTGGGGTGACCTGCCCTGTGTCTGCCTCTGCATCTCTCTCCCCTTCTGCCTCCCTCCACCTGCCTCCCTGCTCTGGTGGCTCCTGCTGTCTCTGGGACTAGGAGAAAGTGGGTACTAGTCCCTCTGTTTGCAAAACTTTGGCCCCAGGAAGCCCTGTGGCCTGACCTGTCATTCTCCTGAGGTGTCTGTTGACATGTCACGTGTCCTTGGGCTCAGGCTCCTTGAGGGAGAAGAGGGGGGGCTTTCTGGGCAAAGTCTCCTGACTGCTTGTTGATCCCCTGCTGTTGTGCTTCCTGCAAGCCTGACATTGTTCCCAGCACACCTGGTGGGTCATAAAATCCCACCCCACCCCCAGCATCAGGGAGCAGGTAGGATAGCTGAAGCTTCCCGGGGCTTCTCCCGCGCCAGGCGTGGAGCTGAGTACTCTGTGTAGAGGAATCAGCACATCCTCCTAGTGACCTGGTGCAGGAGGCCCTGCTGTCATCTGCTCCACATCCAAGCCCAGAGGCCAAGTAACTAGCTCCAGTCACCCAGGCAGTGGGAGGTCCAGACCAGGTGCACCCTGGTCTTAGGTCTGAGGCCACTTGAGAGGAGGGGAAGGTTAAGGGGAGCCTTTATGGGGTGCTGAGAGGCACTGGCCCCTGACAGGGGCTGTAGCCCATTCCTGGGCAGGCGGAGCCTGTGCTGGGGCAGAGGCACAGAGGCCGCCCTTGCAGTCCAGCCCAGGCGGTGGGGGCAGCACAAGGACCCTGGGTACCCGGGCAGGGGGCGTGTGGGGGCTAATATCTGGGGTGAGGGGGGTCCTTTCTCCCTGGGGGGCATCGGGGTCCCTCTGCTCTGGAGTTGGAGGCAGCGGGTGTTGTCAGCTCTGTTAAGTCCCTGACATCCGTGCTGGTCCCACAGCCAAGGGCTGGGAGGTGGGGGCGGAGAGAGGAAGTGAAACCAAGAAAAGGCCGGGGAGCAGCGGGGAAATGCAGTGCAGTCACCCCCCAACCATCTCTCTCCCTGCTCTCCTGTCTGCTTCTCCTCCTGCCTCCTCTCCTGCAGTTTGGCCGCCCCCCGCGGGGTCCCCAAGGCCAGCGCTATGAAGCTTGTCTATGTGGGTGTCTCTGCAGGGGTGATCAGCATGGCTGTGTTAGTCTTCTACTTTTGTTTTACTTGTCATTGTGCACGGAATTTCTACGAGAAGGTCCAGTGCCGATGCTCCAGATACTCCGCTCCATGGGATGCCCCGCTGAGGTAGGTGGCACCGCTGGGCACCGCTGGGCACCACTGTGCTCGCGCGCAGGCGCGGTGTGGACTGACAAAAACAAAGTATTTTGCGTCCGGGGTCCGGGAAGAAGCCGGGCCGGGCCGGGCGGGCAGAGCGGGGCCGGGCTGAGGACCCCGCACGCCCCGGGAAGCCCCTGCGCCGGCCCCGCGCGCAGCCGCCGCCCCCGCGGGACCCGCCTCGGGGCCGGGCCGGGAGCAGCCCCCGCGGGTCCCCGCGAGCCCCGGGCTCCGACCCCGCTGCAGGCGCGTCTCGGGGCGGGGCCGCGGGGCTCGGGTCTCAGGGGGGTGAGCAAGCGCCCCCGGTGCCCGCCGGGCCCGCCTGAAAGCGCAGGGAGGGCGCAGGGGACCCGGGGCGGGGCGGGGCGGTGCGGTGGGGGGGGGGGGCAGGGGCGCTGGATCGCGGAGGGGGGGTTTCCTCAGGAACACAAACCAGCCACCCCACGGTTGGGCGCCCCGAAATCTGTGACCGGGAAACAGGGACACTTGAGACATCAGCCCCAGAACCTGGACAGACCCTGGGAAGGAGCAGCACCATGTGGCTCCAGGAAACCTTCCAGAGGGTTCCTCATGACCCCTCAGCGAGCTGCTCATCTGCCCCAGAGACCCTCCCGCTGGGCTGGTTTCCCTTCCCAGGGCTTGTCTCCCCCCAGAACCCCTTTTTGAGGTGGTGCTGGCAGGGAACAAGCAGGGAGTGAAAGCTCCTGGGGGTTTCTCTGTTGTAACAGACCCCAGAGGTCTTACCTGCCCCTTGTGGGCCTCCAGAGTGTCCAGTCCTCACAGGTGTTTACTTGCAGGTAACTGAGGACTCCGTGGAGGGAGGAAGCAGGGTGGGGCGTTCCTCCTGTCATCTTCAGAGTGTCCATTACATCCCGTGTCACCCAATGTAACAGTGAAGTAACGGGAGTGGGGGGAGCAAAGCGTGTGCGGGAGAGAAATGCCTCCAGTTCAAAATGTCAAGAGGCTGCGAGACCAGTTCTCCAGGAGTCATTTCTAGAAACTGCCATCACCAGCCCCTCCCCTCCTCTGGGCCTCCTCAGCCTGGAGCCCCAGCTTGAGCTCCCCAGGGATTCCCTCCCTCTCAGGAGAGAGCCCCCAGCTGTGGATGGAGCCACAGGCACCAGATCCCGAGTCAAGGAGCGGCCCCTCCACTCTCACCTTAGGTCAGCAGCTCACAGTGTGTGTTGTCCGTTCATCCTGGGCAGCTCGCACGGGCTGTGAGGGGAGCACCCACGGGGCGTGCTGGCGCCTCAGGAACCGCGGGGCGCTGTGATGGTGTCACGATGCCTGTCCGGAGGAAACAGTAATGAACACAGGGAACACCTGTGTCCCTGCCACGCGGTCAGCGGATGCGCAGCTGCATGTGTAGTGTTAGCAGCTGAGCCTCTGTTGTAGGCTCTGAGATGGGTCAGCACCCAATGTACCCACCATGTCAGAGATCCTTGCGCACAAGGGGGTGCTCTGAATAGTTATGCAGAGTCCACAGCCTCCCGGGAATCAGGTTCGCTTTCTCTGTGGCTGGTGTGCTGGGCCTTGAATCTTGGCTCTGTCAAAGTGTCACTTTCGGCAAGTTACTTTCCCCATAGTGTTCTCAACTGTAAAACACAAGTGTTGGTGACAGCCCCACTCTAGGGGAATTGCAAGGATTAAGGGGCATAATCCTGAGATATATAGTAAGTATGGGAAATGTCTGATTATTTTTAATGCTGTCACAGATATCTTTAAACAATAATAGAGATTTTTATTGTCATTTCACAACTTCTTTTGTTCTCTCTCTTCAAAATGTGTAGCAAGCTTTCTCATGGATCAGCTCATTTGCACTTCCCCAGGCCTCTCCATTTTAATGACGGGTATTTTATTAACTTCTCTCAGTAAAACCGGTGTTTCCAGTGTAGGAAACAGCAAATCCACACTAATGCTGAGTAAACACTGACTGTGCCTGTGCGGGGCTGGGCTGAGGGGCTCAGAGAGGAAAGCGCCACCTGCTGGGGCAGGACCAGGGGGACGTCATGACAGAAGGGGCCTTTGAGGATTTCCCTTTAGGATAGATCGTCAGCACCAGGGTGTTGTGCAGAGTGTGTTATCCTGGAATGAAGCCCAGGGGATGGAGACGACCCTGCTTCTGAGGGAAGATCAGCCCACGGATGGACCAAAACGTATCCGGGGATAGAACCTTCTACAAAGAGGGAGCTCTCTGTCTTCTGGGTTAGCCCTTGATCTTCATCAGTGCATTACTTGACGTCACCTTGGTCCTTCATCTTCCTACCATGATGATGAAGCTTCCTTTAATTCCACCACCATTCTGGGTCTTAAGACAGAGCCCAGAAGCCAGAGAGACTTCAAAGCCCCTGGTGCAGAGTGGAAGGCGAAGGGATAGTTGGCCAGGGCTCCAGTCACGGGACTTCGTAGCTGCTGTGGTTGAATTTGGAAAGTCAGACCCCAGGGCTGGGTTGTCAGGGAGGGAAGGATGGAGTGGGGATCGGTGCAGAGAGACCCAGCACGGGGATCCTGGTGCTACCAGGACAGAATGGGAGAATAAAGATCTGGGATAGACTCTTCTAGAAAGAGGGAGCTCTGGGAGCACATCAGATGGCTGAGGGAGAGAGGGCAGAGGTCAGAGGGGTGGGAAAAGGAGGATGCTGCTTCTTTTTGGGTTAGTGCTTTGTCTCACACTTTGTTCTTGGAATATGCTGTGCCTAACCCCTTGAGCCACCAAGGACTCCCTACCCTTCCTCTTGCTCACCCGGTTCCCCACACTGACTTCCATGTTGGTTTTGCACATATCATATGTAACATAGGTAGATCCTTTGTGATGCTGTTCCCTCTGCTTAGGATGCTGTTCCCTAGCAGGCCTGTATGACCAAGTCCCTGTTCCCTTCAATTTGTTGCTCAAATGTCATCTACTCTCCACCCCATTTAATGCTGTGAACTCCCTCCTCCTGCCCCATTCTGCTCTATTTTCCTGCTTCCTACAGATTTGTACATTTTTTAGGATTCTCTGTAACCACTAATTCATTTTGTCTGTAGTCAATCTAGTTCCGGTAGAATGTAGATTCACAGAGGACAGAAAACCTAGTTTCATTCACTGCTACATCTTACATGCCTATAAATATCTCCAGCCTACACTAGATATTTGCTGGATTAAGAAATTCATGGTCTCTGAGAGTCTGGAAGAGTCTTTTAAGACCCTCCTTGGCAACCCTCATGGAATCTCATGGCTGCGCATCTCTCCAGGAGGTGGCAGTCCTGCCTGCAGTGCAGGTTCAGCAGATGCATTTGAATAAAGGGCACAAGGAACCTGCATGTTTTCTGTGAGCCCAGACAATCTGCCCCCAGGACTTGACCACAAAAACATTCATGGAAAAAGGACGAGTGACCCCTCAATATCTAAGTACTTTTAGGGGTGTGGACATAGAGTGTGAGAGTTTCCTGGGGTGGGAGGGCCAGAGGGCCAGCATATTAGGAGGGTGATGGTGCTGCACGATGGGGACCTGATGTGTGCGTGCTATTTGCGGGATGAGTGTGGGTTAGAGAGTGGGGAGAGCACAGAGTTATGAAGCCTGAAGTAGCCTGACAAGTATCAAAGGGATTGAACCACCAAAATATGGCTACTTGTCCAGCTTCGTGTAAGAGTTTGACATTTCTCTCGGCTCCCCTCCACCCCAGTCACTTACCCATCACTGGGAACAGGGGTGTCCTCTTCGGGGTAGCGCCCGCAAGGCACTGGGCGGTGTCTCGTGGATTTAGGCACATGGATAAGGAGGGTCCTGGAGCCCTCAGTGGCTTTTCAGGCTTTAATGCTCTTTCTTTGCCCATTGTTGGGGCAAGGCTGAAGGCTGGCAAGGCAGGAAGGCTGGGGGTTGGGGGTGGGGCCACGAGGCTGGCAGCACTTCCAGCCCCCAGTGAATCTTTGCTCTTTCTCTGTGGACTCTCTCTGGCTTCTCTGTGGTCTCTTCCTCTCGTAGCTGATCTGCTGTAGCCTCCCCTCCTTAGCCCTTCTCCTGTCTCTGAGGGTCACCATCCTTACATCCTTGATCTCCAGGCCCAGGTGTGCACACTTACTCCTGCCTGCACCATGCTCCAGGTGTCCACCTTCAGGCACGCGTGCCCAGGCCCACGCTCCCAAGCGCCTCCTGCATTCAAGGCCGCAGGTGACAGCCGCAGAGGCCAGCGGGTGAAAGCCGGACTCATTCACTCACCTTACATCTGGTCTTCACCTTTCTGGGGCAGAGACAGCCCCTCTGCAGGGCTCAGGACCTCATGCTGGGAGGGACTGCCTCCCTCTGGGGAGCCAGCCATGATTCTACACCTCCTGCAGGGGGCAGCATTGTTCAGCAGTGAGCAGTGTGAGGCTGCTCTGCTGCTCACATAGTTTGGCTTTGGGCAAGTTGATCTCTGAGCTTCAGTAGCTCCAAATCAGGGATATGGCAGGATCCCCCACCTCCAGCCCCCATAAGCTAGTGTGAGATTTAAACAGGACAGGTGAAGCCCTTGGTAGAGTCCCTTCCCCTTCCATTGCTTCTTATCTTCAGCAACGATGCCACCTTGGCCCAGACCACCACTGGCACTACCGAGATGACTGGTCTACCTCCTGTCTTTTCCCTCCTTTGGAGCAGAGCAATCAGAAAAGTCAAAATCTCTGGACACCTGGAGACAGCCTACCTGGCAGGTCAGAGGGGGAGAGAAGAGGTGAGAAATGAACAGGAGGAAATGACTCACCGGAGAACAGGTGAGTCTGTGAGGAGGAGCAGAGTGGTAGAAAGAGAAAGGACGTGCCCCTGATCTAGAACCCTAATATCTATGCTCAGCGTGGATTAATTGTTCAATAACTGAGATAAAGGGGAAAGTGCTAGACTAAGACTCCAGCTCTCCATGAAACATTCCTATTAATATAATAGGTCAGGTCTTCCCCAAACTGCTCCTACAGCTTCTGCCTCTTGGTTTCTCAGAACTGGCAAGTTCTTTTCTGTTCCAGGGCCTTTGCACGGCCTCCCCTGCCGTGTGCCGCCCCCTCCTCATCACCGTCTCAGCGAGGAAGACCTCTCTGGGAGACCTTTCCTGACCACTCTCCCTAAAGTGGTCATTGATCCAGTCTCCCCCTCCATTCATTTCCTGCTTGCTTTTTACCATAAGCTGCACTTATTTTGTTCCCTTATTTGTTCAATTGTTTACTATCTGGTTATACAGAGAGTTGCTGCACCTCCCCCTGCAGTGACCTTTAGGGCTAACCGTCCCTAGGTCCCGCTGGGCAACCAGCACGCAGGGGGAGAACAGCAAAACCCTCTGAAGACACACCTGCTGCACCTCCCCCTGCAGTGACCTTTAGGAATGGCTTTCGCCAAGGTCCCTAGGTCTGGCTGGGCAACCAGCTCTCAAGGGGAGAACAGGAAAACACCCTGAAGCAGAGGAAGTACAGCAGAAGTTCCCTGAAAAGACAGAAGTTTATCAAAAGATAAGGACCACCAGGAACCACTACAAGAATGCTAAAAATCTTATCTTTCTAGAACTACAAACTTTAATCTTTAATCCCTTATTGTCTTTCTAAACTTCCTTCTTTCTTCTATAAAGGTCATTGCTTGTTATGTAGATCACCTCCCTGATGGTGATAGGCTGAGCCCATGAGCAAGCTGATTTCATTGATATTCAATGTTCCTGTGCTTTTGGAAAACATATATATACTGGTCACAAACTCAAAGAAAATTACACTCAGATTTTCACTCTTGAAGTGTGTCTGTTTGTTATTTCTTTCACCAACGCCCTGACCACCCTGCACGCTTCTCTCAACCCTGAGGTGGCCTCATCGTCTACTGCTGTGCTGGTCCGCGGCAGAGAGTGAGCTCCACAAGGAGCTTGTAGGGCCAGTAGAGAAATGTTGGTCTCATCAAAGTGTTGCATAGATTACAGAAAATGAAATATATGAAGCATGGGTGCTAGTCAATGTGTTATAGGACAGGAAGAGGGGCAGCCCAAGCCCCGCAAACCTGCCTATTCTAAATGGGTTCTGCCATCCGCCGCATCAACACAAAACATATGAGACTTTAATGGGAAGGAACTTTAATAAAACTAGGAAACAATACAGGTAAGGCAAAGAGTCTAGTTTCTAAATGAACCACCCAAAGTTACCCATCCCCTCGTGGGTAAAAGTCCATCCATATGGGATTGGCCCAGAGCAAGGCCCCACAGCCTGCCACAAGTCTAAAGCATCTTCCAGTGGGGACCCACAGAAAAGGGTCACAAACAACCAGACAAGCCCGGAAGGAAAAGAGCAAAATCAACATCAAGATAAAAGCTGCCATGGTCACCTCCCCACGGGTCTCACCCACATCTGTGTCACCCAGTCCACGACCAAAAGACAAGCGAAGTTTCTTCACGTGTCTCTAGGCTCCATGCGCCTCCTCCAGGTCTCCTTCTGGCTCCATCCTGCTTCCTTCTTCAGTCTCTTCTTCAGCTTCTTCTCTTCCTGCTCAGCTCCACCCTTCCTTGGGTGGGGCAGGGAACCTGGAACTTCCCCCTTTCCTGGGGACCACCCTGTTACAAATGCTTCCAGGTAATTATGCTCCAAAGAATATGCTTGACACCAAGCGCTGGCTGGCGAGGATATGGAGAACAGGAACTCTCCTACACAGCGGGTGGGAACGTAAACTAGTCCGGCCCTTGTGGAAAGCAGTATGGAGATGTCCATAGATTAAGTGTGGACCTGCCGTACAACCCCGTCATTCCACGCCTCAGCATCCACCAGAAAATTCAAAAACGCTAACTGAAAAGACTTGCTTTCCCATGTTGAGGCGGTGCTGTTCACTACAGCTCAATTATAGAAAAAAGCTAAGTGCCCCCAAAGAGGGGAGGGGATCAAGAAGATGTGATAGATACACACAATGGAATATGACTCAGTGATCCAAAAGCGTAAACTCATGCCATCTGCAGCAGCATGGGTAGAGCTAGGAGGGGTGATGCTAAAGGAAGCAAGTCATAAGGAGAAAGACAAATACTGGGTGGTGTCACTAGTATGTGGAACAGAGAGAAACTAAACTAAGAGTCAAGCTTAAAACTAACCCTGAAAGCTGATGCTACAACGGAAGCAGCCAGAGAGAGAGAGACGGGAGATGAAAACAAACAGGGAAGGGGGCACGATGGACTCTGGGTGATTTGGTGGTGGGTACACTATGGTGGGGGCATCCAAAGATGATCTCCATTAAAAATAAATTAAAAGAATAAGTTTGAAATGTGATTACTCTTGTTTTATTGTCTGTGTTTTATCTCACAGTGGAAAAGAAGACTGCAACAAGATAGCGGAGGCTTTCACGAAAGCAGTTGCTTCTACGGACCCTAAGCGCATTGGAGCCGGAGACTATCAACCACTGATGGATCTGGTGAAGCAACAAAATTTCCCTTGCGACAAGGTAATCAGGGTCATTTTTTCAAAACCGAGGATAAAAGCCAGAAGCACAAGGTCACAGGACACATTTTGACTATGATGAGGAAAAAGGAAAAAATCTGGAGATAAGAATATAGGGGTGTTCGGCCGGGATGGGGGCTTGTGGGGCTCGTTAGGACATCTGGAGGACAGTGAGAGAAACAGGGACATGGAGAGGAGAAAGGAGACAAAGTGCTGTGAGCCAGCCGCAGCAGTCTGGGTGTCAGGGTTTCCTGAAGGATGGGAAGGCATTGGCGCAATTGTAGAGAAATGGTAAGGGAAGGGAAATGAGGAGACACAGACACTTGATCAGGGTGCTGACATCATCCTGCTGAGGGTCTCAGCAGCCCTTTATTTATACATTTCAAGCAAACCATGAGTACATAAGCATATGTATTAAGGCAGGAAGATAACAATCATCACATCATTCTCAAGAACAGTCAAGTGTCTATTTGCCCTCCTGCAGAGAACTAAGCCAGAAATTGGTCAAAACAAACCAACCATGGAATCCAACTCAATCCAATGAAAATAAAATCCAATTAACGCAACATTCTGGAAGGACAGCACTTCCCCTGACCTCTGAGGGTGATGGTGATGACAACCACAATGTCTGTTTGCATGTGTGGGGGCCTGTGTTACTTCACTAAGGAATCTTCACCCTTATCCTGTGAGAGCTTCACAGTCACCCTGTGGAGCATGTAGGTCAGAGGCCAACATTCCCTTTTCGCCCCAGAGAAAACTGAAGTGAGTTTAGGTGACTAGTAAGGGACTCAAAAATGGCCAGTTGAAATGTGAATGGCTCCATCTGGCACCAGAGAGCTCTAGGCTGTCATACACTGACCATACTGGGAAAGAGCACATCTCCCCTAAAGTCATGTTCATCAGGTTTGGGGTCTCTGGAGCGCTCACTTCCAGACAGAGAAGCCAAGGTTTCCTCTTCTCAAGTCAAAGGCACATAACCACAGTGTGAATCCGCTGGGGGAATGTGCATTATAATGAGGTGAGGGTACCACTAAATTGGCAGCAAAAGGGGGATGTAACTAACCTCTTGGCAAAGTTTGGGAGACAGGTGATGCACAATGGATGGTCCCTGGTCCAGAGAGCCCCTGGCAGCCCCCTCCTATGGGGAGATGAAGGCCACACTCAGAGCAAGAGTCTCTGTGTCTCTGAGCAGTGCCTGGGGGAGACTTAGGCCCCTGTGTGTGGAGTCCACAGCATCTCACCTTGCCTCAGGCTTAGTGCCTATAGTTATGCCATTGTTCTGAGGCCTATTATCAGGACCCACTGGTCATTTTGACTGAGCAGGGGCCTCTCTGCACATCTGGGGCTTTATCTACCCTGGATTTTTGCATGTCTGTTTATCAATGTCTTCATGAAAAGTGGTTCCTTTTTCATGGATACCTAAAGTTGCTCTCTCAACTTTCCATCCGTCAGGCCTCTACAGTGTCAGCGCATGTCATATCTATTACATCAGGAGGATCATCACTACATCAACCCATATGACAAGTTAGCATTTTAAGGGGGCAATTCAGCGAGCCGCAAAACTTCAGCCCCATCCACTTTAGAAGCTGGAGCTACTGCAGAGTGCCCCAGGCACAAGACAGCTTGTGGGGCGGGGTTAGGGGAGAGGGGTTTGGTGACTGTCCAGGCTGTGATTTCTTTGCCTTGTTCCTATGAACCCCGGCCTCCCAGGGGTTCTGATCATTGTTGCCCATTTCCATTTGGGGAAGGTGAGGTTAGCGATACTCTGGTGTCCAAGGCCAGGCAGACGGTGAGTGGGGACGCTTCCTAAGGCCATGGGACTCCCGGCCTGGGCTTCCCAGCCCACCCTCCCCTGCCTGCTCTTCAGAACCCACAGGTCCCCGGAGTAGACGACTGCTCTGAAATTGGACTTCCCGTGTGCTTGCAAGGGACCTTGAGGAAAACTCGCTGCATTTGTTCATTTCTTGTGTGTGTGTGAAGAGGGCAGACTGGGGAAAGAAACAGAGAGGCTGGACCTCTAAGCATCAAGGAGCTCATCTCCCAGAAATAGCCTGTAGACAAAAGGGCTTGCAGATCCTTCAGGAACTCTGAATCTCCTGATGCCTCCTCCAGATGGTTCCCATCTCAGATTTGCTACAAGATTTTCTGGGTATGAGCAGAATAATGAAATCATTTCACATGGTGACCCAGAACACACATATGTGTGCCGTATAGGATTTACTCTGAACATTTCAGTGCTTTTCTTTCATTTAAAAAACATGTATTTTTAGGTCCTCCCCGGTGGCGCAGCGGTTGAGCGCTGGGTTGCGAAGCTGCCCGTAGCCTCTGCAGCGCCGGTTAGATCCCCGGCTGCTCCCCGGCCACCGGAGGAGGGTCCCACATGGCGCGCAGACCTCTCCTGCCGCCCGCTGCTCCCCTCAGCAGTGTACTTCGGTCCTTCTGCCTGCTCTGCTCCCGCTCTGGCTCTGGTGAATTCTCTCACCTTCCTGCGCTTCTGACTGTACCCAGTGCTTGTATAAACAAACAAACAAACAAATAAATAAAAAAATAAATAAAAACATGCCTCTATAAAAAAAAATAATAAAAAACATGTATTTTTATCAGGGGAAGGAGGAGCACCAGGGACTATGTGAGGGTGCACGGGTGACTTGGTGGCGGGATTTTCCGGGGACTCCACCTGAGAGGAGAAAGTAGACATTGTACAAAAAAGAACAATGATGTAAAAAGTATATAAATAAAATAAAATAATTAATAATGTATATTTTAAAATTTTACTACATGGATCTCAATGGGCGGTGTGTTTATTCTTTCTTAGGTCCTTTTTTGGAGCAAAGCAAAAGACCTGGCAGATAGTTACCAGGGGGAGCTGCTCACCCTGAATAAACTGCTCGTGGGCTACATTGCTGATGGCCTCATGTGGTGTCGAGACAAAAGCTCTTCTGGTGAGGGACTGACTGGGCCAATTGCAGGGTGAAGAAGCCCTGGCTCAGCCAGGCGCCCCAAAACATGTGCTGGGAGGAGTCCCAGGGACCCCGCGGAAACCACTTACCCCTCAAGGACAGCTCAGGCTGGTGGAGCATTGCCTGCTTTGGCCCTCGCATTTTTTTTTTAAGATTTATTTATTTCTCATAAATAAATAAATTGGGGTACAGGCCAGAGATGTGGGGGCTGAGAGGATTCACCAGAGACAGAGTGGGGAGCAGAACAGGGAGACTGACCAAAATACACTGCTGAGGGGAGCAGCAGGCGAGTGAGGAGAGGTCTGCTGGGACAGGGAAATTCCCTGGCTGGGGATCAGACTGGCGCTGGAGTGGCTGCAGACAGCCTCACAGGTTGTGTAGTAACTCCTTGTGCCACCAGGGCTGGCCCTCGAATGTCTTCTAGAAAAACTGACTTCGGGCTTTGGGGTGGCCCTGCTCCTTGAGCCTCTGCTCTGGGAGGACAGACACAGCCGGCTTCTGAATTGTTGGGGTTTTGCTTTCTGTAAGGGCAGCGTTTAGGGTGAAAGAATTCGACAGCAGGGTGAGGACCAGGGCGGGACCCAGACGACGTCCTCCTTCCACAGGGCAGCTGGAGATATGGGGTGTGGGTGCAGGGGAGCCGGAGGGGACCCCTTTGGTCTGTCACCTTGCAGGGCAGCAGCGCTGGGAGAGGCGCGGGAGGGAGGAAAGACAACTCAGAGTCCAAGGGGAGAGAGAGAGACACGAAGAGGGGCTCACTCCTCTGGAGGTGCAGCCCATGCCCCCCAAACCACTTCATATTTATTTATTTTTTATTTATTTATTTTTTTTTTTAATAAATTTTATTGTTATATTCCCCATACAATTGCAGCCCCCCCATTCTGACCCCAATCCCTCCCCTCCCACCCCCGCCCCCCTAAAAGTGTCTCTGGTTCATAGTTTTTTGTTGATTTTGATTTTCACTTTCTTATAGATATTCATTTTCCTGGTCCCTTATTTAAGTTTTCTAGATTCCTGCTATGAGTGAGACCATCCGGTATTTTTCTTTTTCTTTCTGGCTTATTTCGCTGAGCATGATCCCTTCCAGCGCCATCCATGTTGCTGCAAATTGCATGTGTTTATCTTTTTTGAATGCTGAGTAATATTCCATGGTGTATATGTACCACATCTTCTTGATCCAGTCATCTATTTTTGGGCATTTGGGTTGTTTCCAAAGCTTAGCTATTGTAAACAGTGCTGCTATAAACATAGGGGTGCAGGTGTTCTTTGGAATTGATGTTTCTGTGTCCTTTGGGTAAATACCTAGGAGTGGAATTGCTGGATCATATGGAAGCTCTATGTTTAGTAGGTCCAGAAATCTCCATACAGCTTTCCACAGTGGTTGGACCAGTTTGCACTCCCACCAACAGTGCAGAAGAGTTCCTTTTTCTCCACACCCTCGCCAACATTTGTTGTTGCTAGTTTTTTTAATATGTGCCATTCTCACTGGTGTAAGATGGTATCTCATGGTAGTTTTGATTTGCATTTCCCTGATGACAAGTGATGTTGAACATTTTTTCATATGCCTGTTGGCCATTTGCATTTCCTCTTCAGAGAAGTTTCTTTTAAGCTCTTCTGCCCATTTTTTGACTGGATTATTTTCTTTGTTGTTGTTGAGTCTCATCAGCTCTTTGCAGATTTTTGTGATCAGTCCTTTATCATTAGTGTTGGGTGCAAAAATGTTCTCCCAGTTGGTGGGGTTTCTCTTTGTTTTTGTTATTGTCTCTTTTGCTGTGCAAAAGCTCTTTAATTTGATGTAGTCCCAGCTGTTTATCTTTGCCTTCACTATCACTGCTTTGGGTGATGTGTCTGTAAAGATGTCTTTGATGTGCAAATCACGTAGTGTTTCGCCTATATTTCCTTCTATATATTTTATGGTTTCAGGTCTTATGTCTAGTTCTTTAATCCATTTTGAGTTGATTTTTGTGTATGGTGTGAGGTGGTGGTCAAGCTTCATTCTTTTGCATGTAGCGACCCAGTTTTCCCAGCACCATTTATTGAACAAACTTTCTTTGCTCCAATGCATATTCTTTGCTCCTTTGTCAAAGATTAGTTGACCATAAATCTGTGGGTTTATTTCTGGATTTTCTATTCGATTCCATTGGTCTGTATGTCTGTTCTTGTTCCAATACCATGCAGTTTTGATGATTATGGCTTTGTAGTATAGTTTGAAGTCTGGGAGTCTGATGCCTCCATTCCCTTCTTTTTTTTTCAGGAGAGCTTTGGCTATTCGGGGTTTTTGGTGATTCCATATGAATTTCATCAATAATTGTTCTATTTCTTTGAAGAATGACATTGAAATTTTGATTGGAATAGCATTGAATCTGTATATTGCTTTTGGTAGGATGGCCATTTTAATAATGTTTATTCTTCCAATCCATGAGCAGGGGACGTCTCTCCATTTCTTTGTGTCTTCTTCTATTTCTTTTAACAGTGTTTTATAGTTTTCTTTGTATAGGTCCTTTACCTCTTTTGTTAGATTTATTCCCAAATATTTGATTTTTTTTGTTTCAATAACAAAAGGGATGGTCTTTTTGATTTCTTCTTCTTCAGATTTATTGTTTGTGTATAGGAAGGCTACTGACTTTTGCGTGTTGATTTTGTATCCTGCCACTTTACTGAACTGATTGATGAGTTGAATTAGCTTTTCTGTGGAGTTTTTGGGGTTCTCTATGTATAATATCATATCATCTGCAAATAGTGATAGTTTGACTTCTTCTTTTCCTATTTGGATTCCTTGGATGTCTTTCTCTTGTCTTATTGCCCTGGCTAGGACTTCCAGTATTATATTGAAAAGCAATGGTGAGAGTGGACATCCTTGTCTTGTTCCAGATCTTAATGGAATTGCTTTCAGCTTTTCACCATTGAGAATGATACTGGCTGTTGGCTTGTCATAGATGGCCTTTATGATGTTGAGGTATGTTCCTTGTATCCCCAGAATTTCAAGGGCTTTTATCATGAATGGGTGTTGCACTTTGTCGAAAGCTTTCTCAGCATCTATTGATATTATCATATGGTTTTTATATTTCTTTTTGTTGATGTGTTGGATAACGTTGATTGATTTTCGGATGTTAAACCATCCTTGTGCCCCTGGAATGAATCCAACTTGGTCGTGGTGAATTATCTTATGGATACATTGTTGGATTCTGATAGCTAGAATTTTATTGAGGATTTTTGCATCAGTGTTCATTAGGGAGATTGGCCTGTAGTTTTCCTTTTTTGTGTTGTCCTTGTTCGGTTTTGGTATTAGTGTAATGTTGGCTTCATAAAACGTGTTTGGTATTGTCCCTTCCTTCTCAATTTTTTGGAAGAGTTTGTGAAGGATAGGCACTAATTCGTCTCTGAATGTTTGGTAGAATTCATTTGTAAATCCATCAGGTCCTGGGCTTTTGTTTTTGGGGAGGTTTTTTATTACCATTTCAATTTCGCTGCTTGTAATTGGTCTGTTTAGGTGTTCTATTTCTTCTTTATCTAGCTTTGGGTGATTGTAGAGTTGTAGGAATTTGTCCATCTCCTCTAGATTGTTAAACTTGTTTCCATATAACTGTTCATAGTAGTTACTGATTATTCTTTTAATTTCTGCTGTGTCCGTTGTGATTTCTCCTCTTTCATTGATGATCCTGTTTCTTTGTGCTTTCTCCCTTTTTTCCTTTGTGAGCCTGGCTAGGGGTTTGTCTATTTTATTGATTTTTTCAAAGAACCAGCTCTTTTTTCATTGATCTTTTGGATTGTTTTTTTAGTTTCAATTTCATTTATTTCTGCTTTGTTTTTATTATTATTTCTTTTCTTCTACTGGTTTTGGGGTTTTTTTGTTGTTCTTTTTCTAGATCTTTGAGCTTCGAGATGAGGTTGTTTCTTTGCGTTCTTTCTTGTTTCTTGATGTGAGCTTCTATTGCTATATATTTTCCTCTTATTACTGCTTTTGCTGCATCCCATACATTTAGGATATTAGTGTCCTCCTTGTCGTTCAATTCAAAAAATTTTTTAATTTCTTCTTTGATCTCCTCATTAGTCCAATGGTCTTCCAGTAGTGTGGTTTTTAATCTCCATGAGGTAGGAAAGTTCCTTGCCTTCTTTTTATGGTTCATTTCTAGTTTGATGCCTTCATGGTCAGAAAAGATGGTTGATATGATTTCAATCTTGGTGTATCTGTTGATGTTTGTCTTGTGCCCCAGTATGTGATCGATCCTGGAGAATGATCCGTGTGCACTTGAGAAAAATGTGTACTCCGTTTTTTTGGGGTTTAGTGTTCTATAGATGTCTGTTAAGCCCAATTGCTCTAGGTCCTTATTTAGAGCTTTGGTTTCTTTACTTATTTTTTGTCTTGTTGATCTATCCATTGTTGATAGTGGTGTGTTGAAGTCTCCCACTACGTATGTGTTTTCTCTGATGTCTGTTTTCAGAGAGGACAATAGTTGTCTGATATATTTTGGTGCTCCTTCGTTTGGTGAGTATATGTTAATGAGTGTTATTTCTTCTTGAAGTATTGTCCCCTTGATCATAATGTAGTGACCATTGGGGTCTCTTTTTATCTTTTTGAGTTTGAAATCTGTTTTATCTGATATAAGTATAGCTGTTCCTGCTTTCTTTTTTGGTCCATTTGCTTGTAGGATTGTTTTCCATCCTTTAACTTTGAGCCTATTTTTATCTTTTGTAGCTAAATGTGTTTCCTGGAGACAGCAAAAGGTTGGGTTTTGTTTCTTAATCCAGGCTGCCACTCTGTGTCTTTTTATTGAAGAGTTTAGTCCATTTACATTTAGAGTTAATATTGATATGTTAACATCTGTATTTGCCATTGTGTTTGTCTTTCCTTTGATTTTATTTATTTATTCTTTTAATAACTTTTTTTTTCTTTTTTTTTGGCCTTCTTTCATTGTTATTCGTCCCTCTGAGGTTCTGGCTTTAGGACTCCTTGTAGTATTTTTTGGAGTGGGGGTTTAGTT